TGAGTGAAACAAACCTTTGACAGTGAACTTCTTGCCGCATAGATTTATCTTCGTACTTTATTGCATTTTTACATTTCCTGTCTTCTATTTTCCATATGTCCATTTTTTTTTAAGGTACTTTATTGTCGTAAAGTCATGAACACTAATTTACTAATTAAGTGATTTCGTCGAAAATGAAACTTTATCTACTGAAATTTTTCTTTTCATTATTTTCATGGAGTTTGCTTTTGTTTTATAGGATAATTGTAAGATTTGAAACAATTCTTGTCATTTCGTCTCTGAAATTTTACCATGTCTACCTAACAAGTACACATTCTATAACTAAATTACCAATAAATAGCAAGAAATAACTGGCTGATTTTATCTGTCAAACAGACTATACGAAATTAACAAAAGAATGTGTTAGATGCGGTAAATAGGAATATTCGCAGTAAGGGTTAGGTTATACAAGCAATAATAAAAGATCAGATATGTAATTTATGATGAATACAGACGAATCAGATCGTGTAAACAGAGCCTCTGTAACCTAACTCAAGTCTTCTTGAGAAAAAATATCAGTAAAACATAAAATCATCTTTTACAATGGGTAAAAAACTTTGGGAATCTATGTGATTAGGTAGGTAGTTGATAGGCTGAAGAAAGAGAAGTGAGCTTGAGTACATCGTTGGTCCCTTTCATAAACGATCAGACAGGTTAAGTGCAGTTTGACAGCTTCAAATCTCTCCTATATGTAATTTCAAAGTCAGTCAGTCAAATAACCACTAATTTCGGTTTCAGACTGAGAACCAATTGATGAAACCCATTAAATGTTTCGAAGAGATTTTAGTGGCCCTGAATTTGACTCCAAATTTTTACGACTTAGTGAATTCGCTATGAAAAAATTCTTTCATTTAATTTTCGTATATCATTCTTAGTTGAACTCCGATTGTGCGACGGCAGTAATAATCACTAAATACGGATTCAGTTAGATAAGTTTATTTCATACAATCGTTCATGCAGGCAGTGGATGGAAATCGGGAAAAATAAGCGGACTAATGTAAAGCGGTGAAAGTGAGTGAGCCAACTCAATGACTAAGCTCTAACAGTAAGATAAAAATGAGCTAGGCATGTCATACACAAAGTAAACAATACGTGTACGCACTGAAGTGAAAACAGCCAAGGTTATATGCAACTATTTGACAAACTAGAAAGGAATATGAATGATGACTCGGAAAGAATGAATTGCTTAGTTTTTTTGAAAGGCTAGGACAAGCAATGTGTGCTTGAAATACCAGTGCACACCAAAAAGCTTGGAGGCTGGTGTGAATTAGATCGGGGTTCTTCAATAATGTGATCCAGTTGTTAGAGGCAATCAAGAGCTTTCTGAGGTCAGTAGAACGTCACACTGGACAACTTCTTTGTTAGATAGAAGTTCATTGGTCGTTAGAAATTTTATAGAACCAGGAATAAATAAAACTGATTAATTGCTTGCACACCATAGATTGCATCATGTGGTGGCTGTCGAACATTTTTTTACAAATACATTTATTCAACAATGACATGTTCATTATATCCCGACCGAAGCTGCTACTTTGACATGGTGGTCGGGCTTGCCTATCGTGATGACCCAAACGAGCTATATAGGCTGGAACCTATGTTCCTGAAGGTTCTACGATGCGAGCTCACTAAACGTCATTTCTGGTCTCCTGGAACCCTATTCAAGATTTCATTTTAGAGCATTTAATGTACGGACATTGTGTAAAATAGGGCAACAGGCTTCATTAGATAGAACTTAGGAATCTCACGCCGTTGATGTGTGCTGCCCCTCGGAAACGCGCATACAGGATCCGAGTAGCATCATTCACTTGACCTCACTATGTCAAGATAAAGAAGCAGCTCGATTTACACTTCGTGTATCCGGTAGCCCTGATGCTGCTTCCCGGGGTCTCGCTGGTGTAGGTATAGCATTGAGTCCTAGGGCAGAACTAGCTCTCCTAGACTGGATCCTAGTAGATAGTCGCTTGTGCGCCGTCCGACTGAACGGGACAGTAAGGACTCGGAAGGATAGGGACACTCGCCGTTGCCTCTTAGTCGTATCTGCCTACGCCCACACTGACTGAAGTTCAGATGATGTGAAAGATAAATTCTACAGAAAGCTTTCGGACTTCCTCCAAAACGTTAGGCCCTCTGATATAGTAATAATGGCTGGTGAGTTTAATGGTCAAGTAGGTAGACTAAGTGAAAACGAAAGACACCTAGGTGGATGTTACTGCGTCGCGGTCCAGAGAACACAATGGCGATCGTCTGTTACAACTGTTCTCAGATAACCGCCTATTTCTAGCAAACACTAACTTGAAGCAAAAGGAAAAACATCTTTTGACCTGGCGGCATCCAAAGTCGTCCCAATGCTGGACCCAACTAGATCACATCAGCCACCGATGGAAGGGTCCGATAGAGGAGTGTCGCTCGTTCTGGGGCACATGTCTAGGTTGAGATCATGCTCTTGGGCGAGCGTGTATTTGTTTGCGACTTGCCGGACGTAAGGAAAACACGGCAAGGAAACCTCTTAGGGTTCTACCTAATGATAGCAGAGCTAAGAATATATTTCAGGAACAAGTAGAAAACAGTTAGGCGACCATCCATCTTCATGCGTAGGTAGCTTGGAATGATATCAGAAAGGCTGTAGAAACAGCAGCGATATCTGCTTGTAAGTTGAAGCATATGGCTAGGAAGAAGCCGTTGATCTCAGTAGCATCTACCGAACTGACGGATGCTCGGAAACTAATCCCACCTGGCTCTGAACATGATGAAGAGCGAAGTCAGCTTAAGCACAGGCTGATAAAAAGCCTACGCAACGACCGCGAACAGTGGTGAGATGCCCACGATCTCCAGTCATCCTGAATGGCAAATTGATGTAAGACCTCCTAGTCTACGTGAAGTTGTGGAAGCTATCGGGAATCTAAAGGGACGTGGAGCAGCTGGTCCTGATAAACTGATCCCTGAGATATTTAAGGATGGTGGTCCAGTTTTAACAGTTAGATTGATCGAGATCTTATGTAGAATCTGGGAACTGGACGTAATCCCTTCTGACTCGACAGGTTTTTCAGGGGTTGACCTTCTATCAGGAAAATCGCTTACTGACCTAGAATATGCCGATGATATAGTTCTATTCGGTGAAAGCTCTGACAAAATGCAGAGTCTTCTGACCACCATCAGCAACAATGCGAGAGTGTTCAGGATGCAGTTCCCCCCCCCCCTTGAAATTCAAAATTTTGCTTCAAGACTGGGTTGCATCGTCACCTAAACTCGTGATAAGGAGTGAAGCAGTCGAGCGTGCTGATCACTTCACTTAGCTGGGGAGTCACATCAGCGTTGATGGCCTGGTGACTGACGAAATCTCAGTTTGGATACAGAAAGCTCGATTTGCTTTTGCCAATTTCCGCCGTTTATGACGTAGGGTTAATATCCGTTCGATAATCAAAGGACGGGTGTACTGAGCAGCAGTTCGCTCCGTTCTCCTATATGGATGCGAAATATGGCTGTTAAGAGCAGAAGACGTTCGTAGGTTACTAGTATTCAATCATAGATGTCTTCGAAGCATTGCTCGTATATCGTGGGACAACCGAGTAAGCAACGCTGTCGTTGGGAAACGAGTACTAGGTAAGGATGGCAGATGAATCGATGAAGTGGTGAAACTTCATCAGCTGAGGTGGTTGGGACATGTGTTACGAATGTCTAACCACCCACTGCCTCGACGAGTTATGTTTTGTGGTGTATGAGTAGCCTGGAAGAGAAATAGGGGCAGCCAAACCAAAACATGACACAAATCCATGAAGTCACTGACAAGTGGACTGAGTCATTTTGGTAGACGTAGACTATCTGGTTGGTGTCCGCGAGACGAAAGTCACCAATGGTTAGAGACCTTCAACGAGATGGCGCAAGTGCATCCATTCTTTGAGCTCTCTCCAATCCTAATCTTCTGGATTCGTCAGCACCTCTACCTTTGTCTTTCTAACCTTATCTCACTGAATTATACTTCTTGAATAATATCTTCAATCCCTAGTCTTCTTTATTACCATTAATACCTCTACTATCTCTATCACTATGGGATTTGATTTGACATTTGCGTCTCTGTGCTAATGTGGTATGGCGACATGAACTTATGTACATACGTGCGAAATTTTACATTGCAGATGACTGATGACTGACTGACTGTTCATTATATATATCAATATATGTATATATCTATGTCGACACATGACCTAGATACCACGAAATTGTTAACTATATTCGGTATAAACAGCGAGGTTGGACTGTAACCATTCACCGAAATCACCTACGCCGACGGTCTACAGTTTTGTAAGTCGCTGTCTACCTCAAAGAGAACCATTCTGTGATACTTGAACCATAGAGCTATTAAGTAAGTAGGCATGAATGGAAGAAACTACTACGTTTCTCATGAAATCTACAACACGGAATAGTTTGGTGATACCTTTTTTATATTCATGTGATACTACACGTCTTTCTAGTAGATATATGCAGACTTTCTGCCTAATTTAGCAGAATTATATGCATCCGAGTGCTTAAAATTCTTTATGATTGTGAGGCGATCAAACTTCACAACTCTCAGGTCAGAATGAGAAAATAAGGGACTAGAATCAATAGATTTGTGATCTTCCCAATCTTGAATTACTACATTGGCTGTGAATAGAAGAGGGAATATTTCTGAGCATTACAGATGTGGTATGAGCCCCACTGAGGTAAGTAACTTATAGCTTCATTTCAACCCTTATTGTGGTGGTTTCTTTAGGTTTTTTAAGTGGTGAATTTTGATTGTACTGTCTTTTTTCTTGACTCACTTAAAATCCTAGAATTATCGAGAAAGGCTACTTGTTATTAGTGAGAAATCTACTTGCTAAAAAGTTACCGGGTATAAGTTTCATCAGTAATTATGTTGATATAATAATAATTATACTGTCAATCAACCATAACCTAAAATTGAATGTTGCCGTGTAAAACTATTTGTTGAAAGTTGTACAGCGTTGTAACAAACAAAATTTGGGTTCGTTTCAAAAATGGTGGCAAGTTTCAGTGATTTGGGGAAATCCGCACGCGATATATTTGACAAAAACTTCAGTTTTGGGTTTCTTAACTTCGAGTTCAAGAACAAGACTGTAAATGATATCTCTATTACATGTGGTGGAAAACACGACACAAACGCTGACAGAGTTTCGGGTTTCTTAGAGTCGAAGCTAAAAGCTGCTCCAGGAGTCCATGTGAAGACAAGAGTTGATTCTAAATGGTTTATGACAAGTGAAGTAGAAATTGAAAAAAAGGTGCACGAAGGCCTATCACATAATGTGATAACTACGATGGATCCTGATTCAGGGTAAGCTAGCATATCGTCTAACTTAACTTTCAGAGCCAAGTCATTGCTACTAAAAAATAAATTCAAGCATGAGTATTTCAATGCCAATCTAGATATGAGTTTCAAGTCAAAGTATCCTCTGATCACCGGATCGCTCGTATTACCGTATGCCCCTATTCTAACATTATTCTTCCCAGTATCCCTCATTACCCTGCATTTCGCATTGGCGCACAAGCTGTTCTTGACAGTGAAAAGTCTGAAATCAACAAACAAGTTTATGCAATTAACTATAAGCAATCTGACGTCCAAGTCCATGCTACACTTACTGGGCATTCAAATGTTGACTTGAGCGTCTTTCAAAAGTTCAAAGACACGAAGCTAGGTTTCCGTGTTGGTTGGCGACCGGACACTCGTGAAACATCGTTCGGTGCGGCTCTTCGTTATCGAACGACTCCTACGGGAAAATTCAAAGTTAAGATAGACCAGAATTGCGTCATTGGAGTGGCTTACAAGCTTAAATTAAACTCGGGTATGTTATATAGTTCAGGTTATCCCTGTGTTGAATAATACTTCAATGTAATCATTTTAACAAAAGCGGTCATCTGGAAGCTAGCTAAGTAACTAATGTGACTTTGTTAAAAGCAATTGATGCTAGTTTCGAGTCTCATAGTAATTAACTCGGGATGCAAGTTCATTTGACTTGCAAGTCCCGAAAGGGACGAGACGCGCATCTTGGATCCCACTGCTAACCACATGCTATCTTTTCTTGCTGTTTATATTCTTAATATTTAAATCTTAATTCAACCAATTGTACGTATCATGTTACATGGTGTTGCTGACGAAAAATGTTAAGGACTAGACCACTACATTGGCACATGCCCAAATATTCTTTTTATTTAATCCTTCATTGCGAAAACTTTACTTGATAGGCTTAAAGATTTTGGCTTCTTGATTCCACTCAAATTTGTCAATAAAATTGTCAGTCTTGTTGGTGTGGCAAGAAACCCTGGTAATAATATCAGGCGGAAAGTTACTATGTCTTATGAGCGATGTAATTAAACATACGTTTAAACTCGCAGTTGTTGATTACAGGTCCCCAATATAAAAACGACCTAATAACGCACGCAGTGACACTTCCTGTCCGCGTCGATGATACCAGCCGCACTCTATTTTCAGCTTTTTCCTCGTATCTGCCGCTCACGTTATATATGAGAAACGGATATTAAACTTCTATCCTTGCTGTTTAATCTCAGTGACCTGTCACAACTGAATAAAGCAGTATCCTCGTACCCTTGTAGATGCTAGTCAGTGTTATTATGGCTGGCGTAAGTATTACTTGGATGGTTAAGTCGTCGTACCAAAGTCGTGTGTTGTACAAATATCTCTGATTTGTAAGAGACAATATGAAATAGTGTGATACGTCAACTCCAAAGTTAAACGACGAAGATTAAACTTTTCTATGAACAGTACTTTTTTCTTAGCCCTATGATAAAACAGGTGTCTTATCTTTAGAGAAAAAACTAATGCGATAAAATCGAATCCTTTTGACAGTGAGTAGTCATTCGTTAATAATAGTGCTAGTCATTTGACGACCACGTTGGTCACATAGTGTGCATCTGTTGGGTAGTTAGTGTTCATTCGGGACAGCTTGAGCAAAAACGGCAGATGGTCGATTTGTCCAACATGAGATACCATCTTCCTCCACGCTTATTGATAATTGTCAGTGATTGAATTAAGACTTCAGAATGTTTAGGTTTTGACTTGACATTAGTATCAGATCCTCTAAACGTTCTGAGTTATAAACTTCCATTCCACCTAAACATTAGAATTTGGCGATCTTATTCAAACAATCGACTGCATTAACATGCTACAAACTTAACATCGTATACTGCTTAGTTCACCCTGCTCCCTTTAAATATATAATCACATTTTCGATACATAATTTTTCTTATAACTGGGTATTCAGTTAGTACTAGTCTAAATTGAACTCTTTCTCTATTCCAGATGCAAGTTTGGCACTCTGTACTCAATTTGATGGCAAGAATTTGGAGAATGGAGGTCAAAAATATGGCATCATGTTCAAGTTTGGATCGTAATCTAGATATGGATATCTATTGAATGAATCCCTAGGTTTCATTATACTTAGACCGGTGCTTGCACCCCTTGTTAGATTTGAACAGTGTCTTAATAATACTTGTAAATCGATCAACTTCTTGTTTATGTTTCAAAGTGAATGGTTAGCTTTCCATTAGACAGGGCTATGTGATTACTAGGTTGTATTGTGACTGTTCTCAAAGAAATTCCCTGATAGTAAGACCATAAAGCAAATTTATATAATGGTTCAAGCAGTATGTCCATTGTTAATCTACAAGATACGTAGTTCTTTTCAATCGAGTTAAGGATGGGGTTCCAGTTTTAACAGTGAAATAGACTGAGATCTTAGCTAAATTCAGGGAACTGGATGTAATCCCATCTAAATGGTCTCAATCACTGATAATTGCAGTGTGTAAGTCAGTCAGATGCAACGTAGAACTTCGTACGTAAGTACATCAGTTCATGTTGCCATACCACATCAGCACAGAGATATAATTGTCAATCCAAATCCAATAGTAGAAGAGGTACTGAAGGTATTATAAGTAATCAGAGAGATTAGGATTAGAAGATGTTCAAGAAATATGATTCAGTGAGAAAAGTTTAGAAAGTCAAAACTAGAGGTGTTGAAGAATCCAGAAGATTAGGATTTGAGAGAACACAGAGAATAAATGCACCGGCGCCATTGCAAACAGTTTTGAGCCATGTCGTTCAGGGTCTCTAACCATCGATTATTATCATCGCGTGGACCCCAACCAGTTAGTCGACAAATACCGATATGGCTCAATCCACTTATCAATGACTTCATGGATTTCTGCCATGTTTTGGTTTGGCGGCCCCTAACTTTCTCCCAACCTATTCCTACACTACAAAACATAGCTCTTCGAGGCAGTCGGTGGTTAGGCATACGCAGCACATGTCCCAACCACCTCAATTGATGAAGTTTCAGCACTTCATAAGTTCTGTTGTGACAGTCACAAAGGAATCGGTTTGACTAATATAGTGTATAAGCTATTAGCTTCAATGATACTTCGACTCCTAACTAGAGCTCATGAAGAGTAAACTCAAGAAAATCAGGACGTTTTCGGACCTGATCGTGGTTGTATAGGCCTTATATTCACACTTCGTCAGGTCCTAGAACATATGCACACACCCAGACTCTCGACGGTAGCTGCCACCTTAACCTGATGGTCGGGTCCGCCTATCATGATAACCTGGCCGAGCTTTATTGGCTGGGACATATGTTCCTTTAGGTTGGTTGGCGAATGGTAAGACTAAAAGTAGCAACTACCAGGTCGCTAATCCAGTTTCCATTTCAAGTTCCTCAAGAAACACCCACAGTGTGGCCAGCCCGGAAGGTGACATCTCACCTCATACCTGTAACAGCACGCGAGACCAAGTCGGTTACAATCAAATCCTTCCCACCTCTTTTTATAACTCTCTTATATCCACGACTAACAGTGCTCACCTACCTTTATCATATCGCTCCTCTTTGTGTATATGGAGGTCCTGATGCTGCTTCCCGGGGTCTCGCTGGTGTAGGTATAGCATTGAGTCCTAGGGCAGAACTAGCTCTCCTAGACTGGATCCTAGTAGATAGTCGCTTGTGCGCCGTCCGACTGAACGGGACAGTAAGGACTCGGAAGGATAGGGACACTCGCCGTTGCCTCTTAGTCGTATCTGCCTACGCCCACACTGACTGAAGTTCAGATGATGTGAAAGATAAATTCTACAGAAAGCTTTCGGACTTCCTCCAAAACGTTAGGCCCTCTGATATAGTAATAATGGCTGGTGAGTTTAATGGTCAAGTAGGTAGACTAAGTGAAAACGAAAGACACCTAGGTGGATGTTACTGCGTCGCGGTCCAGAGAACACAATGGCGATCGTCTGTTACAACTGTTCTCAGATAACCGCCTATTTCTAGCAAACACTAACTTGAAGCAAAAGGAAAAACATCTTTTGACCTGGCGGCATCCAAAGTCGTCCCAATGCTGGACCCAACTAGATCACATCAGCCACCGATGGAAGGGTCCGATAGAGGAGTGTCGCTCGTTCTGGGGCACATGTCTAGGTTGAGATCATGCTCTTGGGCGAGCGTGTATTTGTTTGCGACTTGCCGGACGTAAGGAAAACACGGCAAGGAAACCTCTTAGGGTTCTACCTAATGATAGCAGAGCTAAGAATATATTTCAGGAACAAGTAGAAAACAGTTAGGCGACCATCCATCTTCATGCGTAGGTAGCTTGGAATGATATCAGAAAGGCTGTAGAAACAGCAGCGATATCTGCTTGTAAGTTGAAGCATATGGCTAGGAAGAAGCCGTTGATCTCAGTAGCATCTACCGAACTGACGGATGCTCGGAAACTAATCCCACCTGGCTCTGAACATGATGAAGAGCGAAGTCAGCTTAAGCACAGGCTGATAAAAAGCCTACGCAACGACCGCGAATACTGGTGGGCGGCGAAAGCGAGAGAGATGGAAAAGGCAGCGACGATAGGCAACAGTAGACAACTTTTCCGCCTAATAAAGGAAACCGGTATTAGCAGTCCATCTATTAGCGAAACTATCTCAGAAAAGTATGGTTGTATCATTATTTCTCAATCCAGGAGATTGGATCGATAGGCAGATCACTTCAGGAATCAGTTTGGTTGGCCTCCAGCCGCACTTCAGTTGCCCACGATTTCCAACCAACCTGAATGGCAAATCGATGTAAGTCCTTCTAGTCTTTAAGATGTTGAGAAAGCTATGACAAATCTGAAGAGAGGGAGAGCAGCAGGGCCTAACATGCCTACCTCTGAGATTTCTAATGATGGTTGTCCAGCCTTAACATTTAGATTAACTGAAATCTTAGGTAGAATCTTGGAACTGGATGTAATCCCATCTGACTGATTTCAGTAGTTAATTGTCCCGATTTACAAGAAAGGACGAAAGTCCTCTTGTGACAATCATAGAACAATAATGAGTTTGACTGATAATAGTGTCTAAAGTGGTAGCCGCGATAACACCTCGATGCCTAATTAGAGCTCGTGAAGAGCTGACTAGAGAAAACCAGGATGGTTTCAGACATGGACGTGAATGTATAGACCAGATATTCACGCTACATCAGGTCCTAGAACATAGACACTCGCTCAGACACCTCACAATAGTACTATTTCTCGACCTTAAAGCGTCATTTGACTCTGTCGATCGTGGGTTTCTGTGATAGTGTCTGTCATTAAAAGGTATACCAAAGAAGTACTCTAACCTTATACTGATCGAGTGAGAGCTTATGGCGAACTGTCATCGGAATTCATTACTTCAAGTAGTGTCCGTCAGGGATGTCCACTTTCTCCATTCTTGTTTAATTTTGGTCATTGTCATGCTTCTAAATGTAACATTATCATCGTTTGACTTTTCAGGGACGGACCTTCTACCAGGAGGGTCACTTGTCGACTTAGAATATGCCGATGACATAGTTCTACTTGGTGAAGACGCTGACAAAATGCAGTCTTCTAACTATCCTAAGCATCAATGCAAGCATGTTTGGGATGCAGTTCTCACCCTCGAAATGCAAAATGTTGCTTCAAGATTGGCTTGTATCGGCACCTGAACTAGTCAAGGGAGTGAGGCAGTTGAGCGTGTAGACCACTTCACTTATCTTGGGAGTCCCATCAGTGCTGATGGCCGGGTAACTGACGAAATCTCAGCACGGATGCAAAAGGCTCAACAAGCTTTTGCCAATACGTGACACTTGTAGCATAGGCGAGATATATGTTTACTACCCGAAGGACGAGTCTACTACGCAGCAGCTCGCTCCGTCCTACTGTATGGGTGTGGAAAACGGTCAGTAAGATTTGATGATATTCGTAGGTTACTGTTTTTCGATCATAGGTGTCTCCGAACTATTGCTCGTATATCTTGGGACTACCGAGTAATCAATGCTGTTGTTAGGAAACGGGTGATAGGTAAGGATGGCAGATCAATAGATGAAGTGGTGAAACTTCATCAGTTGAGGTGGTTGGGACATGTGTTACGAATGCCTAACCACCGACTGCCCCGACGAGCTATGTTTTTTGGTGTAGGAATAGGTTGGAAGAAAGCTATGGGCGGCCAGACCAAAACATGGCAGAAATGCATGAAGTCACTGACAAGTGGACTGAATCATGTTGGTAGATGTAGGCTATCTGGTTGGGGTCCGCGAGATGATAACAATAGATGGTTTGAGATCCTGAATGACATGATTCAAAACCGTTTGCATTGACGCAGGTGCATTAATTGATTGTGTTCTCTGAAATTCTAATACTTTGAATTCCTCACCACTTATCTTTCGCTTTCTAAATTCATCTCACTGAATCTTACTTCTTGAGTAATTTCTTCGTACCCTAATATTCTCCATTACCGCTAATTCTTCTATTATGTCCACCACTATTGGATTTTAACTGACAGTTTTGTCTCTGTGTTAATGTGGTTTGTCACCCTATACAGATCTTCATGTTTTGCGATAATAATAATTTTTGATTTCAATCTCTATTGATCCGTTGATGCCAACCTCTAAGGAATGCCATGCTCTGATGAAACCGCTGTTTAGCCCTTTCTTGTCTTACAATATTCATCTAAGTTTCTTTGTGGTGTAAAGCTACAAAACTCCACAACCTCAAATAATAGAAAAAACTTCTTATGTCACAGAATCTAATCGAATGCACTCTTAGAAATTTTTGGATGATAAATGCCTTCGATTTACAGAAAACTTGGAAACCTGTTAACACCAAGTAGCAGCTTTATTCTTATTCGGGATTCTCTAAACATTCACATGTATAGCCTTATCAAAACATTAAGCTGATGACATTTATGTCTTGCAGCCAGTATCTTAGCTTTCCACAATATAGAGATAAATAGGTAATCCTCATATTTACATAAATCAGCCAAATTTGAGTAGTTTTCGTCATGAAACTACAGTTTTCTAGTACACTTTAGTTTTCACTGTTTTTCCTGCTGATATCAATCCGTGACTAAAAAAAAAGGTTATATTAATATAGCAAATTTATTTGTTTTGGTTCTCTGATAAAAATACTAAAGCTGTCACAAATAGTGTAGGGAACTATCTTATACTTCATGTACATACTTGTATGGGTTATTG